AATAGTTAAAAAAAAAAAAAAAAAAAAAAAAGTTGAACGTCGTTTAATTTTGAACGCGAATTTAAATCCGCGTTCAAACGCACATTTGAACGCGAACGCACATTCACGGCGTTCAAACCGTTACACAACTCCGAATTACGGGCGGGAAACCCTTTGTTGTACCAATGAGACTGACCCTTCGTACTACCGCTAACATAGCCCCACGAGTTTCTCCCGCGATGACGGGGACCCTTCGCATGATTACCTGGGACAACAGTCAGACATCCAAGGACGCAGACAACAGTGATGATGATGATGATCCCGTAATCCTGGAGATGGCACAAGAACGTATCCATTACCCCATGCAACGGACAAATGTTAAAGCGTTGAGCAGGACTATCTAAGATTTGCAAAGAACACAGGCTATGATTATGGGAGAACCTCTCGTACAGATTTTAAGGATGGTCGATTCTTCGGAACCCCCTCGAACCCTGTACGACGGGATCTCCCCTCTTCTCGCCCGATACAATAACAAAAGGCACTACTGCGATATCACGGATCTCCCGAAGTCTCTGTTGACACCCGCAAAAGAAATTTGATTGTTATGATTGGGGGTAGAGATCAACTCTTTGGAACCCCCTGAGCGCCTCGAGAACGGGCTCGGGATCAAGATTGCAACGAAACTTGTGCCATGGCAAGACATTCGAGACGGGGTAACATCTGAAGAACACGTGGCCATCCGAGAACAAGATGCACAGATGATGGCTACAGTGTTCTCCTAGAGATCAGATAACTCATTCATCTCCGCGCCCCTGCCAGAAAATACCAGGCGGGTGGATACAAAACACATCGATGTGAGGATATCGGATGAGTCGTATGAGTTGCACGTACCTCGATATGTGCCTGATGAGATTCATCACCTAATCGCAGACATTCTAAAGGAGTACAAAGGAGCGATCAGTATGACGGACACAGACATCGGACCATCGTTAGTCATACAGCACGAGATCCAGACAGGAAATCACTCCCCAATTCACTGTAAACCTTACTGATATTCCCTGGTAGAGCGGAGAAAGGCTCTCGAGCGGATTCGAGAATTTGAAGCAAGCGGTTGGATCGAACCTGCCACCGGACCATGGTCGTTTCCGGTAGTATTCAAGTTAGTACCGAAAAAGAACGGATCGATTCGCATATGCATTGATTATCGCAATTTGAATGACATCACGATCAAAAAAGTGTATCCCCTCCCCCGGATTGATGATTTGCTGAATGCAATTGGATGTGCTAATTACTTCCGTAAGTTTGATATTCGGCATGGCTTCCACCACATTCTGGTTAAGGAGGAAGATCGGCCGAACATGGCCTTCGTACTGTTTGAGGGCACGTGGCAATGGGTTCGGTGTCCGATGGGGATTTGCAATGCGTCGGCCACGTTTCAGCGAGCCATGAACGTCACGTTTCAGAACTTCGTCAATAACACACGGTTAACGCAGAGAATGATCAACTTCTGCGTCATCGTGTACATGGACGACATCCTGGTCTATTCAGAGACCTATCACGACCATGCGCAGCATATCGAGTGGGCGTTGGGTGCTCTGAGAAACGCCGGATTCAAGATTGCGCTCGAAAATAGTGAATTTTTCCTTTCGGAAATTTTGTTCTTGGGCTACGTTGTGACACGTGGAGGACTGCGGCCTGACTCGAGAAAGGTCGCGGCGGTGAAGGAAGCTCCTGTTCCCACGTCACTGACGCAGGTTCGAGCCTTCTTGGGGTTAGCCTCGTACTATCGTCGTTTCATCAAGGGCTTCGCCGCGATTGCACGACCCTTAACGAACTTGTTACGGAAGGACCAGCCCCTCAGTTGGGACGCAGGGTGCGAACAAGCCTTCGCGACCCTCAAGGAAGCTCTAGCAACGATGCCTATTTTGATCTGACCGGACCCCGCGAAGCAGTTCATTCTCATCACGGACTGGCAGCCGGAGGCTATTTCCGCTATTTTAGCGCAGAAAGGGAACGATGGCCACGAACATGTCATCGAATATGCGTCGCGAACAGTACCAGACGAGCGGAGGAATGACTCGGCCCCGCAGGGCGAATGCTACGCAATAGTGTGGGGAATCCAACACTTTCGTCCGTACCTGTACGGACATAAGTTCCTCCTTGTCACTGATCACGAGCCCTTGCTAGCGCTGAAGCGACTCACTAACTACACGGGCATGATTGGATGCTGGGCGGTGCGCCTACAGGAATACGACTTCGACATCATCCATCGAAAAACGGAGAGGCACGACAACGCGGACGGGCTGACACGTCTGCATCGACCAGCTAAAGTGCCTAAGGCGGAAGAGATCATCCCGTGGAAGGAACCGGAATCGGCGAACGGACCCAAGTACGGACAAGTGGCAGTCCTTCCACGTGGCAAGAAGCAGGCAGGTGACCATGGGTGACGGAAGTAACCCTACAACTCCCCTTTCTCCCTTCCCCTCCTCATCTCTCCTCTCCCTGCCTGATAAATTTTGTTATTTTTGTGAAGCAATTTCCCGCGTATATTCGGTCTCTATGCGCCCTAGCGGGGAGGGAGATGCGGAATGGATAGATTGTCGACAGTGTGTCGCACGAGCCCACGACTTGTGCATCCAATACCGAAATGACAGTAAGCCTTGGTTGTGCCCCTTGTGTCGGGTTGATAAGATCCCGACCGAGGCTCACTTTCTGGATGCCACGTCCGAAGGGTTGGAAAAGACCCCGGGCCGGAGGCTTAGAAGAATCGAGGTATGGACGGATATCGCCTTGCAGTGATTGCCACCCTAGTAGGTAACCCCTTCCAGGACTTCACCAAAGAAGATGGAAGGAGGGTCAATGAAAGGGCTCGGGACTACCGCTGGAATGAGGGACGGTTGGAAAAACGGAAAACGGATGGTAGTGGGATTTGAATGGTGGTGCCACACCTGTTGATGAGGTATGACTGGGTGAAGACAGCGCACGAGGAAATGACTGCCCATTTTGCCGTACGGATTACGGAGTCGGCAATCGACAAAAATGAGTGGTATTGGTCCAATATTCGTGACGATGTGAAGTTCATCGTCGCGAACTGTCAGGTCTGCGCTGATGACAAGACGCCGATTCAACCGCCAAGATCAATAGTACCGACGGTAGTTGAGCGGCCTTTTCAAAGGGTTAGCATGGATACCACCGATATTGTGGTGCCCCCTGGACCCAATCGCTGTGAATATTCAATCCTACTCGTGTTCGTGGACCATTTTTCAAAATGGATCGAGGCGTATCCCTGTCGTATGTGACAAGCGACCGAAATTGCGCGATACATCAATCGGTTTTTAGGGATGCACCAGGACACGGAGGAAATTCTGACCGATAATGGGGTACAATTCAGGGGAGAAGTCTTGAGGAATCTGGTCATATTCGATGTCTACCGCACCCCATATGTCGCAATCTAACAGGCTGGTAGAAAATGCAAATAGGGTGATAAAGACTGCACTACAACGCAATATCGTGGCGCGGGACCCCAGACCCTGGCCCAATATCGTAGATCACATCTTGGCAGTCCATTGAGGGACGCCCCACGAATCGACGAGCCTAAGCCCGTTCCAATTACGGACCAATAGTGTGGCTTGCGTTTCGATACCGAGCCTCCCGGATGAGTCGTCGTTGAGCCTCCCGGATGAGTCGTCGTTGAACCGACGGCCTACGAGAACCACGGTTCGGGACAAGGCCAAGCGACACATGGAATTGATGGAAATGTCTCTGCCTCGATTGGCCCGAAAACGACACAAAATGACCGAGTTGGCCCACGACCGACATGTTCGCAGTTACGAGGCCCTGAACGGGAACGCGGGTCCACGGCACCAGTACAAATTAGGGGACTTGGTGCAGGTGAGGAAATGTGCTCGCCAAGGGAAGATAGCGCCACGATTCTTCGGGCGATTTCTCGTGATTGAGCTCGGCCCGAACGGAGTGAACACGGTGCGCCTCGTGCCAGAGGTCTTAGGGAGCCGATCGGCCCGGCCGATCGTATGCCACTTGTCCTATCTACGTCCCCTCCCTTCCTCCCCATCTCGTGCACCCTTTTCCTCTTCCTTGGCTACTGAAGAAGACGATGACTCTCCATCGCTTTCTTCCTCCCCTGCATCTCTCGCCTTTTCCCATACTCCGTCCCCGCCACCATCGCCATGAGTTTTCTTACGGAGCGAGCTCTCGGCGATCATCTGCTAGCGCTACGAGGCTACATCTCAGCGATTCGGCAGGTTCATCATCCACGGTTCAACCTGGATCTTCGCCGACTCGCGCAATTCTTCTGCACTTCGGATGTATATGCAGCAGCCGAGCTCCAATTCGCGGGCAGTCACCAGGCAGTTGTGCTATCAGAGGCAGTAGCTGTCCATCGGCGGTCAGCTCCAGGGATCAGCCACGTGTCCACAGTTGTCGTCTTCAATGGCGATATCAGCACAATCAGTCCGCTGCAGCATACAACTATCCGGACGCCACTGAGGGAGTGGGGACAACAATTGGCAGCGGAGTGGAACCACTGGCTCACGCGCCACGGGGACAATCTTGTCCCTACAGACGACATCGATCTTGGTGGGACTAAAACATCCCAGCACAAGCCGGCGATGGTGCTTCCGGAACTTATCCCCTTTCAGTGTCCCCAATGAACGGCTCCCAACTCTCCACCTTCGCCCTTCCATCTCTCTTCCCACCTTTCGGCAGTCTGGTCTTCACCCTCGCTTCTTTTTCTGTCTGGAGCCGCTCGCTGTCCCACTTCTCGATCCAAGGCAGTGGAGGCTTTGGTGTGAACACTTCGTCGATCTTTCGGTGTGCCTGGTCGGAGTGCGACTCATATGGACCAGGGATGAAGAGCATCCAGGCTTGGAGGACGAACGTGGAGGGCGATCTTCTCGGATTCCTGTTCGGATATGTGTGGCCCTGCCATCGCCAGCTGATCGTGCAGGAGCTCACAGTTCCTCTCGCGCGGTTGGTTGACGATCTCCCCTTTGAGATTGTCTCGCAGAGTGACGAGAGCCCGGTCCCGCACGTCCTCACACGAACGCTGACGCCGTACCTTCAGTGATCAGCGTGCCTGGAGGAGCCGGGAAGCGGCCGCAACCCGTCATCGCAACGGGATATCTAGACCCACGGGAGAAAATCGACCTCGCTTTCTTCCAGGATCGAACGGCCTCTGAAGACGAGGAGTTAGCGATCGAAGAAGAAGAAGAGAAGAAGAAGAAGAAGAAGAAGAAGAAGAAGAAGAAGAAGAAGAAGAAGAAGAAGAAGAAGAAGAAGTTGAGGAGGACGATGAGGAAGAGACACCGGAAGAGGGGAGTTATAGTGAACACAACGAAGAGGAGCAGAGTGAGGAGGAAGAAGAAGAAGAGCAAGGCGAAGAAGAGGAAGAGCTAGCGCTGGAAGAATCTGAGTGGGGGATCTTGGCGGAGGAGGCGGAACAAACGGACGCTCAGGCAGAGGACCCCGAGGCGGCGCGCAAGAGAGAGGAGATCGCGGCCGGAAAGCGACAGCTGGAATTCGCCAGCGGAGCAAATCTGCAGATCGTCGACGATCCGGCCCAAGATCCGGAGCCGCCCAAGCCCGAAGATGGAGACCCAGTGCCCGAGACTTCGAGCGCACTGACATGGCGGCGACGAAGCCGATCCCCCTCCCCCTCCATCTCCGACCGTCCACCAGTTCGAGCCCGTTCTGATGCGGGCCATCGGGCTTTGTCCCCGGTCGTTATCCCGCCGTCCCTTTGACCATCTCACCCTTCGCCAGATTACCACCCATGTCACCTTCCCCCGTAACCCCTTCCCCATCGACACCTTCCGATTCTTCTACGCTACTCGCCTTGTTGTTACTGTTCACCCCCATCCCTCGACTCAATGCGCCCTCCCCGACTTCTGCCTTCACACCCTTCTCCTTAGTGCCGCGTGGCGAGGCCACAATATCGTCGAAGTTTATTGCATGATTACGGGGACTATCCCCGCATGCGAGAACTACGACCATTTCCGCACGACACTCTTCCGAACCTTCACCACTCTGTATCCCGATTACCTCGCCTCCCTCCCCCACAGTGATAATCGCTTCCCCCGTTTCCACCGGATCGTCCGATATCAGGAGCTTCCGGAAACGGTGGCGAGGATGGAAAGTTTCTTACCCCAGCTCCCGATTAACCCTCCCCCTCGCCATGCCCCCATGTATCGTCTCCCCTTCCCCCTCCCCGGTGCACACTGATGATCGGTTGATTGGTGTGCGTGCCACGACGATGGCACAAATAATCCTCTCCTTGGATTGACGAGAGCCCTCCTGAGGAATTTGTAGGACAGAGCCCGTATGCCATGTTGGATGACGTCCACACTCCTTCACACGGTAAGTGGCAAAGTAGAAAGCTCTGCGTGTCGATCAATTAGACAAATCGACACGTGTCAAGATTCAAGCAAGCAGGAGCTTGCTTAAGATTGGAACCCCCTGGGCGTCACATATGTGACGAACCGATTTCGGTTTCGCGCGATTTTCTGCGCGATAACAATGAGGGGTCCTAAGCTGGGAAGGATGGACCAATTACGGGAGATCGGGATTGAAGGGAAATTGCATCAGTGTCCTCGCTTCTTCGTCTTTTTGCATCGTCTCTTTTCAGATGGCTGGGTTCAGGCCCGGGCAAGTCCCGGGGATGATTGACGGGTGATGCGCCGCCACAAGCGCGCGAATAATATTAGTTGACGTCGTTCCTTTTCGTTTTCTGTTGTTGGATTTTAGGCGCGGAGGCCACGCGAGAATTTTTGCTTCGTTCTTTTTGAATTAAATTTCCCTTTTGAATCTTGTCAAGCCCCAATGGCTCTCGGAATTTCAAACTTTCTTTTCGAAAATTTGTGCTTTTTGCTTTCTCTTCATTAGATAGGAATTTAGGATTTTCTTTTGCCGCGCGACACTTTTCGCTTACGCACTTCTTTGTGCGGCTGCAGTGAAACTCTGATTAGTCGGCGCCCTTAATCGTGTGTGTAACTATAATTTTGGGCGGGCGCCATTGTAACTGTATCTTTCTTCCTGAACTTCGTCTTTCCCGCTATCGCTTTCTCTTGCTGTGTCTAGCCAGCCCGCGGCCTGCATGCTCGGATCGATGTGTGGAGAGTGGCTACGACCCCCACGCTGCGATCTGGCCATGCAAAACGCATGCGCTTTCTCTCCTTATCTCCTTTCTAAGTCCTTGCAATTCCGTGTTCTTTGCGCATGCATGCACGCTATAAATTCCGGCTGCGCGGATTAGATAACTCTCTTAACCAGCTGTTGGAAACTCGGGGTAGCGCGATCAGTGAGGGTCGGCTCACGAGCGAAGTAAGAGGTGAGTTGAAGTGGGAGTCGGGTGACCCGACGAGCTGGTGCCAAACGCGCGGGGTTGACGCGGGCCACGACGGACTGTGGGCACTGGCGAACCTGACGGGTGCGGGAAGACTAAGCGGGTTGACGACTTCGTGGGTTGGTCCGTGACGACGGACTGTCCACATCGGAGAGAGAGAGAGAGGAAGAGGGAGCTCATAGCTGAGGTTGATGAACGTGGATTTGCAGTTTCCTTTGTCTTTTCCCCCTCTTTGCTTTTGTACATAAATTTTGATCTCGGCTCAGGGCGATTCGCCGTTTTTGTTTTCGGAATCTTGGCTTGGTTTCAACCCACACTCGTTTTTTTGCGATTTTTGTTTGTTGTGTGTTTTGTCAAATGAATGGATGAATGAATGTCATGTCTATTGCGTGTCTTTTCGGCTGATCCTTGCCTTTGCTTGTCATTTTGATACACTCAAGAGCATAGTAGGAATTTTTGCGTACTCATCAATACTGTTGTTTATTCCCTTTTGAACTACTGTTGTTGTTGCACCTTGCATGCTCGGGAATGATTGCGTACGGGATCATGGAGTGATTAGATGATTGGGTAGCTGTTGTCCAGAAACAAGCGAATACCTCGCGGGGATGCGTGTAAGTGCGATCTGATGTGTGCAGCCTACACGTATCCACGAGCGCCGATTCGCAACCATTGACGAACTTGACACCTTCGACATCGGGTAGGCAGGAATTTTCCTTCCCCCACGCACCTAAACGCATAGGAATTTCCGATATCACACCGGAAATTCCCCCTGCCGACTAGACACGTGCGGAAGAATTCCATCACACCACGATGAGAAGATGACATACTCGAGGGACTCAGATTCGTCGTGGGATCCGAAGTATTTCGACCCCTGGGTGAGAGAGTATCTTAGACAGAGGCGCCCGGAATTCCCCTGCCTGGTCGAGAATCGATTGTGCCCGAGGGAGTTTCACTGTGCCACCACTAGCGATCCGAGGTGCCCCGATTTTCCCACTTCAGACAACACTCATTACTTCATATCCCCCGGCTTCGTTGTTATAGCTACCAACTTCCCTCCCTTCCGTCTCCTCCTCCCGTATCACCAACTCACGGTGGTACCGTGGAATTCCATCGCTCCATACTGGCCCCGCACGCCTTGCGGAAATTGTCGGCGACGCGGTAACCGACGAGCCCCTGAAACTAGAGGGCCAAAACGCGCGACGACAGACGTCACGTGCCGACACCCAAAGGACCAACTCATCGGGAACACGACTATCCCGGGCGAGCCTCTCCCCAAACCGCCACCGCCAAAACAGACGAATCGGATGAGTCGGGATGACCTTGAATGCACCGCGCATGCCATCTGCCTTATGCTGCCTGACATAGAACGCCAACAGACCGGAAGGAACTCGCCCTTAGCCCTATTGCATCTATGCCCCTGAAACCTTGCCACAGGAGATCTCAGTTCTGACCTGGGACTCCACCCCCACTTTCCTAAAAATCATTGGCACAACTCTTCTCGCACTTCCAGGCCCACATCCCACTCCGATCAGGAAGTCGCGCCGGGCGTGAGGTTGGGTGTCACACTGTAGTAGATTGTCTGGGCCTGGCGTCCGAAGTTCCCGTTCGACAAGGCTCGTCCGATTCTGCTTCCACCAGGGCTGGGCAACGTATCAGCCCTGGTGCCTATAACTGCTGTTCGGTCCAAGTTACCTGCCCATTGGTAGGGTAATGGTCCTGAGTGCTGGTCACACTGTGGTAGGACAGTGGGATAGGGGGTGCGCTAGGAGTATTGACATGAGGATGGGATGGGAGGTGGTCTCATATTCCAGGACACCCACGGCCTACTGCTCCAGGTGATCACTGTGTACTCAGTGACTGATCTCTACAACACCATGGACTTATTTAAAAAAAAAAAGAAAAAAGTAAAGACCCAAGTTGAACTTGAAGTTCAGGCAACTATGTTGCTAACGGAAATGAGTTCTGACTAGGCAACGGAAACACATGGTGTCAGGTCGTTCACATGCCAGGTTCGACAAGGCAATAAAAAAGTCGCCGCACTTTCTAATAAGCGCAAACATCATAACTGCAGGGGCAGGCAGTGGTATGCAGAGGGCCTAAGTTGAATAGCGTCAAAATAATACTGCTAGTTTTGCTTTTTTTTCACATTCGAAACTGCCGCCCTGACAAAACTGCATCTAGTGTTTTTTTTGCGTAGTTGAATATTTTTTTTTTTCCGTTTCTTTTATAGAAGTTCAGGTTGCTGTAGAGGTTGGATACTAGGCATATGACAGTCACCCTCAGTAATCGGGCATTCGATTATCCGGATGGGCCCCTCAGATGACCCCAATTACCCTTCCTCTCATCTGTTGCCCTGGCGCACCCCTACCCCTCCTGTCCTACCCACCTGGGACCATCACCCGTCACCATCTTGGTGGGGTGACCTGACCAGACAGCGGTTGCAGGCACCCGCATATTTGAAACTCCAACTTTAACTGGACGTGGTTGTTTCGGGAAAAGGAAAAAAAAAAAACATCATTTGGGATGATTTTTGATAGGTGAGGGGGCTCCACCCATTGTGACGGTGACAGACCTTCTCGAAATGGGGTCAGGGGTCTCTTTTACAAGCTCAGTGCAGAAATGAAATAAGGGGACCAGCAGCTGATAGCCAGGATGAGAAGCCCTCAGGTACGACCCGAGGCTGACTGAAATAAGAGGAATAGCAAGGGTACGGGTGGTGGTGCTTTGAAGGTGGGGTAGTGGTGTTCGGATGGGCATGGCGGATGATCACTGGGAGGCGGGAACTGTGGAGATGGTGGTGGTGAGATGAACGCCGAGGAGGCGCGCGGCAAGCAGGATGGACACTGCCCCTTCCTCCCCCTGACTTTTTTGCCCCGGAGGTTGCTTTGTGGCATTTTTTTGGTGGCTTGAACCCCCTATGGCACTCGTCGGCAGGGTCGACGAGGTCGAACCATAGCATCTCCTGCTTGGCAGGTTGGTGCCTGTTTAGTGCGCTGGTGAAAAGGCTTCGCATGTTGGCAAGGCTGTCATGGCTAGCGGGGGGAGGGGGGAGGTTGCTCTCCTCCCACGAAGACGGAGGGGGTGAGTTTGGGCGATGAAGGTCTTTGCAGTTTTTTAGAGACAGTTGGGAAACGCAATTGACGTAAAGTGGAGCAAGAGGTTCTTTTGCTCGGTCTGTTTATCACAAAAGAGGCGGTAGGTGGCGGTTTCATCTTCAGCTGTTGACATCACGGGATTTTGTGATGCGGATATCACGAGAGGCTGTAGTTGTTTTTTGACTTCAATGTTCACTGACATCGCACGAGTTTTTTTTTTTTTTTTACTAACATCGCACGAGGTTGCTGCCACGTCTTTGTTTTGATTTGGTGCTAGAGCCTGTGATTGGGGCTGTGTCCTTTGTGTATCACTGCCCGTTCCTTGATTTGTCATGATTTTCTCCCCTTGAGATATCGTAATTGCGATT